GTTTGTGACAATTGTACCATAGGGTACGTTTTATATGTACGCGAACGTTTCAATTACGTGAAAAATAATTTTTTCTGTAAATTTTCATATCCAATTCAATTAAAAAACATTCTTATTTTTTTTATTCATTGCAGCCATTCGTTTTGTATTTGTTTATTGCATATATGTACATACATAAAAATATTTTCCCTGCACGATTCATTTCGTTTGTTGTTTCGTCTGTAACTACTAAACTACTGTAGTGTACTATCGCCAAAGTGAACTCAGCCGTTTTGTTTCGTATTGTACCGAACTGTTAAAGTAATAAACGAAACGAAATAGTAACGTACAATATAGTTTATTTTCGTACACTGATTAAAACATTTTTATCGATAAAATCACACATACACACATCAAAATTCCCTACGAAAAAATATATTTTTTAATTTTTTTTTCTTGAAAAATTTCCCACATACAAATTTTTTGATTAAAAAAAAATAGTTTTTGAAAATATGTTATCTCAAAAAAAATTTGAAAAAATCACAATGGTAGCTCTGAGTATTGCGCAATATTTAAGTATAATGTTATGGAGTGCACTCTACAATAATTTGAGTTAGGAATTTTTTTACACCGAAGTTGAGTAAAATGGGTACAAAAATTAAAAAATATATTTTTTCGTAGGGAATTTTGATGTGTGTATGTGTGATTTCATCGATAAAAATGTTTTAATTGCGTATGCATGTTCACTTTGAGCAAATTGTGAGCACTGGTTGGGGAAATCTTCGGTAGATTGGGCAAATCGCTAATTGGGCCCCAATTGGGCCAAAATTAGAGCCCAATTGGGAAAAACTTTTGGCTCGGATCGGGCAACCTCAAAAAAATTCCTGCAAGGAAACTTTATCATAATGGGCAACAATTTTTGCGTCCTCAACTGGCACGAAAATCTGCTAGCATCATATAAGTGCATTTTCAGAAAAAAAATCATAACTCGAAAACGACGAATTTTAGCATATTGCTACTCGTACTGAAAATAGTTTATACTATTCCCTTATACACCAAAAAGTTTGAGAGAAAAAAAGATGTGGCAATTTGAAAAAAATCAATTTG